CCAGCCCGCATGGGCATTTTAAGCTGTCAAAGTTATACATTTTAGTTTAAAGACATTTAAATTTGCAAACACCGTGTTCTTTCAAGTAAGTCCTTCCAAATCTTTGCTTACATAAGTAGTTAGGAACTGAAATAACTCTGAACGAGTTACACAATGTTGTCTGGTAACCAGGATGTACTGTTGCCACAACACCGGTGGAAGTCTTCTGTCTGAAGTCTACTCTCCCTGTGTCCACATGTGTCAATACAACATTGTTTTCTAGGTAGTATGAGCCATCTGGTCCATGAAAGTGGGCACCCTTTCTCTTCCCTCGAACAGGCTGATGTCAAATCTTTGCAAAAGAGAAGCCCATGTGCTTTGCTGAGAAATACGACGTTAAATGACAGTTGGCAGTGTATTTCCCAAAGTCCCAGAGACGGCCGAGAATCTCCTTTCCCTGGTTCTAGAGCCACGACAAGAAACCCACAACTATTTTTCTCCTCATGGCTCTGTCAGAAGGAGGCTGAGCAGAAGATATGCCCAGCTGCCCGGAGATCACTCAGGGCTCCACCTTACTGTCCTCTAGGAGAGGAGATAGGGAGTCCCACAGCCGACATCCAATCTGTCAGGAAATCCTCTTGGCTCAGCCTTCAAAATGTCTTCGGAGCCCGGCCATCCATCACCACCTCCCCTGAGCCAGCCTGTGTTAAGCCCCCACTGCTGAGGCTGACAGCTTCCTCCGTTTGCTAGCTACTGTCCTTGTTCTCATTGTTACTGCAGGACTTCCTTCCTCGGAGGGCACCAGCCATGTGACAGGTCTCTCTCTCCCCCCACCCCTCAGACAAGGTTTCTCTGTGTAACAGCCTGACTGCCCTAGAACTCACTTTGTAGACCAGGCTGGCCTCGACCTCATAGAGATCCCACTGCCTCTGCCTCCTGAGTGCTGGAGTTAAATGTGTGCGCCACCACCGCCCGGCATGATGGGTATTTTGTCCACACTCTGCAGCCTTTTGCTGCTGCCCAAAGCCTTTAGTGTGATCCACTATCCCATAAACTTTATGTTTTTAATCCAAGACATGCCTGTTTCCCTGATGAGGGTGTAAGATGGATCTTTGCTGGGCAGATTTTAATTGATTGTTTTCTTCTCATTTCTTTAAAACCGAGAATGGGGAGCAACACAGAACAGCTCCTTGATAAATATTTGCTGAGCGACATGGATGTATATGAGTGGGTACCCTGCCAGGAGTCGCTCACATCTGCCATCTGTTGGGTAAGGCAATGCAGAGGACCCAAACTAGCCAGGTGTGGAGGGAAAAGGTCGAGCAAGGCAAGAGGATCACAAGTTTAAGGTCACCCACAGTACAAAGCCACCCCTCAGGAAGGGAGGAAAGTGTGTGTGTGTGTGTGTGTGTATGTGTGTATGTGAGTGTGTGTATATGTGTGTGTGAGTGTGTGTATGTGTGTGTGTATGTACATGCATGCAAAAGATGTACACACAGGGAAGAGAGAAAGAGAAATCCAGAAGTAGATTATTGTACATTTTATTACCATGGTGCAAATTTTCAAAAGTCTCGAAGGAATACACTAATTTTGCTTTGCTTACCTGAAATATTCTAGTTAAAAAAAAATTCCTACCCATCTCTGCTCAGGGTAAGGGCTCATTTCGCCTGGAAAAGTCCTCTATTGTCACCTCAGGAGACTAAGAATCTCTTCTGGGACACTACCCTTACCAACACGTCCTTGAAAGCTTGCCATACTTGACGTCAAGAACCCTGAAGCTGCCATTTGTTCCCTCCACCGAGAGCGGGTGCTGCTGCTGAGCTTGGCGATGCTTCTCCATGCGGCCCGTCTTGATTTTGGCCAACAGTTTAAAACTCTGCTCATTTTGGCTTTTTTTTCTCCCCTTACAATGTAACTTTAACTTCTCAGTTTATTATAAATAATTAATTTGACCTGAAACACTGTCCTCAACTCTAAAAAAAGGCACGCACGTTACACTTATACTGCGCACCGTGGCTGGGATAAGGCTAAAGACACTGTCTCTGCTCTTTGAGAAGAATTCAGGGTTTGGGGGACCAAAAGAACAACTGTAAGAGTTGTTGCCTGCATTTTGTTTATCTACCTGTAGGACAAACAATAAAGCTAACACATTAAAAACTTAAGACTATAATTTGCCTAAAGGTAACAAGTTTTTCTCTCTCTCTTTGTGTGTGTGTGTGTGTGTGTGTGTGTGAGAGAGAGAGAGAGAGAGAGAGAGAGAGAGAGAGAGAGAGAGAGAACAAGCTGGCACATCTGTAGGTGGAAGTATGTAGGTAAATGTGGAAATCAGAGGTCAAATTCAGGAAGCCACCCACCATGGCTTTTGAGAAGCCAGACTGGCCTTGCTAACTAGGCTAGACCCTGTGCTCCGTGAGCTCGCAGACCCATAAATCTAGCCTCTCCTCGTCCAGGATTACTAGCTCTCGCCACCAAGCCCAGTTCATACAAGATTCTGGGAATGCAGACCCTCTGCTTTACATGGCCTGCACTTTACAGAGAGTGTCCGAACCAATGTCTCCAACTTTATTTCTATAACAAAAGTGGTGAAGAGGACCTGGGACACCCTGCATACATAGCAAATGCTAAATGCCTAAGCACATTTTATTTTATTTTATTTTATTTTATTTTTTTGAGACAGGGTTTCTCTGTGTAGCTTTGGAGCCTGTCCTGGAACTTGTTCTGCAGACCAGGGTGACCCTGAACCCACAGAGACCTGCCTGCCTCTGCCCCAGAGTGCTGAGATTAAATTAAAGGTGCACCTCACTACCCAGTTTTTTCTTTATTTTATTTTTTTATTTTTTTTCCCTTAGTGCTATCTTGTCCCCTGTTAGGAATGGAATCCAGAAGTGCAAGCATGCTAGCCAAACCTCAACTAAACCCCAGTCATCCCAAACTCAATGCTCAATGGCAGAACCTTGGTCTACGTTTATGAAAATACTAGGATTCAAACCAGAAGCCTGAAGAAAAGATTCTTTTAAAAGCTTCTATGTTCTTATTATATAGAAAACTACATAATAAGCGACTTGATATAATCAAAATAAAGATTAAGGCATTTGAGAAGATCAACATTTTAAAAACATGTCTATATAATAGCCAGCACCAGCCCTTCGCAGAGAGACATTTATTTATTTATTTATTTAGGTACGACCAAGCTTTAAAAAAAAAAAAGCTCGGTAACATCTTATTTTGACCCCCAAATAATACATCAAAATTTCTGCCAGGCATTGGAGACAGAAGTGTAAACCAGAAAGATACCAACGGTTACACTGCAAGCCTTAATTCTTCTCCATAGGAAGACCTGGAGGACAGCCAAGTCTCTCTGTAGTGTGCTCTCATGTGCTAGGCGACTGCCTGCTGACACGTGCCAGCCCTTCGTCTTCTGGCATGGAGTCTTACTAGTAACTCATGGTGGCCTGAAACACAAAGCCCTCTGCCTCTGCCTCCCAGATCCGAAGATGAGAGGCACGCGCCGCAGGGTTTGGCCTCCCTACTTCTCAAATCAGCTACCTGGAAGGTGTCTGAAAAGTGAGGCTACTGATGTTAGACTGGCTTTCTTACAAAAATCCACGGTCACATAATTCAGGCTAAAGCTTCCTTCTTGTGGGCACTGTAGTATTCAATCCTACTTGTGTTTATAACAACTGTCAAACTGTCATGTTTCTTACCCAGAACCCCTCTTCAAAATCTCACAGACACCTTGTCAACTAATTGATTCTGGTACCGCTGGGTTACCTCCAAGGGACAGACACCCTTTTGCCCTGGTTGGTAACAAGCTCATCTTTCACAGCCAACTTGGGAATGCTGGGAACCCTCAAGCCATGAGCCTCTGCAACATTTAAAGCGTGCTGGCAAGGAGCCAGAGCCGCCATAAGTACAACAAATATTTTCAATGATCCGAGATAGTTTCTCGATCAGGAACACTAAATTTCAGGACCACGAACACTGCTGGATAAGTTACAACCTAACCATAGGACGAAACACTCAGCTCACTGGAATGTATAAGGTCAATGACATATGTTGGGACAAATTCATTGAAGACTTACTACAGGGAAGGCATTGTGACTAATTTTAGACAGCTAGTTAATGCTTAATTCGACAAGTTATTCATCCATGCAGAAATGCTGATGGGTTCTACACATGAGCACTTTAAGTGCCTAGATCAACTTCACCAGCTGACCCCGGGCTTTCCCTCTGGTAGTGAGCTCCTGGCTGCCACCATGTGGCTGGCTGATACCACAACGTCTCATGAGAAGATGTCCTCTGCTGGGCATCAGTGCCAAGAGCACACTTTGTAACTGGAGTACTTTCTGGCACAGGAGGAACTCCTCTGCAGTCCATACTATTCCAGCCGCTACGCCAGGCTGTGTTTCTTTACAATCTTACCTAAGGTATGGAACTAAATGGACAGCCTAGCAGTAGCTGTTCTCATCGCAAGGCTGTGCAATCAGCGGGGTGACCCGTGGATCGATGTAGAAGAGTGAGCGGACTCAGAAGGTGAAAGGCGCAAGTTAATTCGGAAGCCTTTGGACATTCAGTGTGTAGACTAGTGGATAATTTTTAGAAACAAAGTTGCAAATATTAGGGATCTTTTCTATCAAGAGATTAACAAAAACAAAGAGAAGGAACTGCCTGCTGTCCTTAGAGCTTCTAAAGGCAAGTCTAGATGGCAAGCATCTCTGGAAGACTTGGACAAAGCAGGCAGTCTGTCCTGTGGCAGCAGTGTAATATACAAAGGGCAGGAACAGGGTAGGGGTGGGGAGCGGGGAGCCAGGAGAGTCAATTAGACTGAGTTTAAGGTCTTCAAAGGAAAAGCTGTTCTGGAATGGTTGCTGCTCCCCCTCGTGGCTGAGAAACCTACAAGTGACTTGTGCTAAGCCTTGCTATGCAGGAATGTTAGGCTGTTATTCAACTCATACACTTCTTAAGGAAATCGATTGTGGCAAGTAATTTAACACTGCTGAAGTTAAAGAAAAAGAACTTACTGTGGCAGAATCGAAAGAAAGGACATCCACGACAGGGGGAGAGGAACTCTGCAAATCCATCACCTCAAGTTTTGGATTAATCTGTGTGCAAACATAAAATAAGTTAATGTGATATCTTCTACATAAGAAACCAATACTATTTGTAAAAAAAACTAATCAAATAGTATTCTTAATATATTCTAGAAATAAAGAATATATTCACTGACAAGCATATACTATTGGCAAAACATGAATCTACTAAAGCCTACTAATGTAAAAGAGATTACTATGTTGAACATAAAGCCAGAAGCAGTTATTTTCAAATTATAAAAGCAATGTAATTCACCTACAGGGGAATATTAAAGTAGAAAGACCCACCTCAAGAGATGCAGAAAAAAATCCTAGCCAGTACATTAAAAAAAAAAAAGAAAAAGAAAATGTTAAGATGTAAGAATCAGAGGGACAAGCTTCACTCAAAAATGGGTGATTGCCTGTGGAGAAAGAATCAGACTCTACTGTTGCCAGCCCCGCTAAGGGGAGCGAAGAACACTGCTATCCCCAACCAACATATAAACCCAAATGCATTTCAGCATGAAGTTAAAACATGGACACATCAAATACTTAAAACTGAAGAAAATTCACCAGGAATTCATGGGAAAGCCTAACACTTCTGTTGCCGTTAAAGAAGTCTCAAGTACACAGACAGGAGTGCCACAGACAGTTCAGAAGCAAGGCGCGCTACACAGTAGGGCACGGTGGCTACATTAGTTAACAGACGGATGACGGACAGTTCTGAACACTGACTAGGTCCGTGGATCCCTGCTAGGAAGGGAAGGCAGGGGCTAAGTAGAACCCAAATGTGATGTCAGACTCTAGAATACTCCAGGACAAACACGTTAGATCTTCATTATAACCAGAGGCAGAGAATGGCGTCTGGAAAACTGCAAAAGCAAAGTAGAAGGCAGGGGAGAATGTGTCTGTGATCACACCTGCTGTGGGATCACAAGGAATACCATAAAATTAACACACAGAAATGGAACAGAGGAGGTAATATGATATCTAATATAAAAGGGGCAATAACTAAAATCTCTACTGAAAGCTTTCACACGGAAACGCAGAAAGCCCACGGCAATAAATCCACAGGAGTGAAAACCTAAGGGCTGATGACAATATGCAGAGGAGCTCAGCGGCCTTATTCACGAGAAAAGTGAAAATTAAACTAACACCATGGGAAAAACCGGAGAGCTTGGCGTGTTAGCAGTGTTCAGCGCTATGTAACAGACAAACCGTGAACTACACCGTGCCGAATGCCTGTAATGCGACGTCACTGACGTCCACGCAGCTCTGTACAACATACAAACGTAGCACCTCATGTTACACACGCATCTCAAGGTTTTTATACAAAATGAAAAGGCTGGTTATAGAAAAAAAATACTCAGTACAATCCAGTGGACCCCAAAGTTCCCGACCATTCAAAGCACAACAATATTTAATTAGAGATTTGGAAATATGTATGCAGTAAAATTACAGAGAAAACAGAATGATTTTTCTGGACTGATGACTGCCTCTGAGGGAAGTTGTTTCTAAATTCAAGGGCCCCCAAAGCATACCACATTAAATCTACTCACCCTATACGGACGGCAGGACCCTATAGCAAACCAATGGGACTACCACTCAGAGCACTCGGGTCCAGAAGAAAACGCTGGCTCACTGCTCAGCGACAGAGGACACTTATGAAGGACATACAACTTAACACAACTTCTCCACACAAAAATAAAAATAAGACAAACTTTAGAAAACAAGTCAGAGGGGTTGGAGAGATGGCTCAGTGGTTAAGAGCACTGACTGATCTTCCAGCAGACCCGGGGTTCAAGTCCCAGCCCCCACACGACAGCCCACAATTGTCTGTTAACTCTAAGATCTGACACCCTCACATACACATGCAGGCAAAACACTAACACACATAAAATAAAAAAGATAGGGTGAGAAAAAGAGCCTCCCAGGACGGTGGCAGGGTAGGGGCATGGTACCAATGAGCCAAAGGACGGTGGCAGGAAAGAAAGAGACTGAAGTTTGACAGAGGCCAGATTACGAAGAGTGAAGGAGTCTGGGAGAACCAGGAGGCTGAAGTGTGAAGCGCTTTAGCGAGATCCACCTGGGAGAGACGGACCCTGACTGCAGGCTGAGCCCCGGCTAGAACAGCTTGTTGAGCACCCGGGCTTGATGGGCACAGCTGGAGCTATAGTTATTACATTTCATTTCTGTGTGTGTGTGTGTGTGTGTGTGCACGTGCACACTCACACACGGGAGTGCACCGTGGTACATGTGCAAGAGGTTTAAGGAGAATTTGTGAGATTGGATTCTTTGCTTCCACCAGGTGGATCCCAGTGACTTGAGTCAGGTTGGCAGGCTGGGCTGCATGCTCTGCTGAGCCAGCCTGCTGGCCTGCTGGTTTTGTTGTAGGGACTGATCTCACGATGGCTGTGCACAAGCTGGCCTCAATCCCCCTGTGTCTCCCAAGTGCTGGGATTACAGGCGTGTGCGCCACCGGGCTCGGGCTCTAGCTGTAGTTTCAGGAATGTTTATCCAGCCCACTGTGGTAGAGAGGGGGTGTGCAGCTGGAAGACACAATCCGACCAACACCCCTGCTTCCTTCCGGAGGGTCCGCAGCACAAAACCAGCACCTCCTCACCCAGCTCGGTGAAGACCCCTCCTGTGAAGACACCTGACTTCACTCTTCACTGTTGGGCAAGCTAGCGGGAGACGGGTTCCTCTTCTCTCTACTGCCATCTAGTGTAGACATAAAAATGCTCAACTAGTTGGTTTCCTCCTCTGAACTGGAAATTGCTCAGGAAGCTAAGTTACAAGAAAAGCGGAGGAACCTCCAGTAAAAACCTTTTCGGCTGTCTGTCAGCTCGGAATGTATGTAATTCCTAGTGTTTTACTGCGTGGCAGCAGAAAATGCTGTCACATAAAGTCAAGTTACCTAAATGGGTGGGACTGAGGCTGGGCTGTCATCGGCTGAGCAGGGCGGTGTGTGTGTGTGTGTGTGTGTGTGTGTGTGTGTGTAAAACTGAGGTCACTGAATGAGGAGGAGGTTGTGTGGAGTCTTGAAGGCCCCTCCACACCCTGCTCCGAGGGTCTTCATCACCAAGGAGTCCAACAACATCAGTGCCTGTACTGATGCAGTCTGTAATGTTTCGTAGGCTGCATGCTCATGAAGGGCAAGGAACGGGTGGGTCCGAAAGCCGGGACCTCCAGCACAAAGGGAGACCCGGCAGTCTGAGCTTTTATGAAACGGAAGCGCAGCGATAGATGGGTAAAGATGCGCAATGAGCCATGGCGCCAGGGCTGCGACGCCAGCACTGCCAGCTCCAACTCCACTCACTTCAGCTCTCGTGCGGATAAAAGCATTGCCGACTTCCAGTATCTGTCCTTGTGGCAATATGAAATCAGTTATGCAGAGGCATGGGAAAGTATTGTATAGGCGCTAAGCATTCTTACTGCTATTACTGCTGTCATATAAGTGCCTCAGGATATTTACTGGGGTCAAAAAGCATAAGCATGTACTTCGGTTAGAATTAAAATCCAGGATTGGTAGATAGGCAACCATATTTTCATCCTCAGTGGTAATGTTCCTAACCTTATTAAGGTTAAAACCTGATGTAAGATAAGATATTGATCACAACAGAATTTTCAACAAGGAATCATGGTCAGGCTATCAAAAAATATTTAAGTAAAAGGATATGTCCTGTCCTGCTAAATAGCATGCTGAATTTCATATGCAATTTATAGAGAATGGTGATATTCAAGTGGCCATTTTGAAATTGAAAGCAATTAAAATAATTATTTTATTAATAATTTTGACTATGCCTTCTAATAGTCTGCCAAGCCGAGGAGAACGATCTGACCCACTAGTTTCATAAGGATCTATCCCTTCTAATGCTTTCTGGTGTTTCCATTAAATATGTAAATGAAGACAAGGCTCCAGAGGCACTGTTACGCAAATGTCAGACAGGACTACTCTTTGAAAGCAGGGTTTCTCTTTTCTTCCTGGAGCAGTATAGCTCAGTTCTCTCTCGTGGCAGCTGGCGAGGCTGACATGAACTTCTCCTACTAATGCATCCGGGCTAGGCGGACCCCTGGGTAAAGACTGCGCTTTCCCGACATCACAGAACACAGGTCTCCTGCTTCATTTTAATTAGGACACAGTGGCGGCTGTCAGTAGCCCAGAGGAGGGGACACAGGAGGGGCACCCACACAGCAAGGCTTCTTTCATGGTTCACCTGCCTTCCTCTGGTGTTTTCTCAGATCCATGTGGCTGTCACCTCTCTATCCGTGTAAGGATTAATAATTCACACACCTGAGACTCTGCAGGGTTCCCGACCTTTATACAAATAGAGTGGTTAAGGCTGGCAAGCTTTGCCCAAAAACGTCACGCAGAAGGTTAGGAAAACATAAAGTATAAATCATAGGGAGTTGATACTGCTCCAAACTCAAACATTAAACAATCCTGGCCTCTACAACAAGAAGAGAAATTACTTCAAAACCTTTTCTTAAAAATAGTAATTTTATATTTTCTTTAAATTCGGAATACTCAACGTTTTCAGTTTAAAAATATTTCTGAAGTAATGTAAGTGCCCCTCCTAAAGCTTTGAGAGAAATTTTAACCCACAGAATTAAGTATTTTAAACATAGTTTATCACAAGTGAGCATAGTAATTTTCTCCTGATCTTCACGACATCTGTGTGAAAGTTTTACCTGTGTTTTTCTTTCTGTGACGGATCCATATCCATTAATGTGAGGACTTAAAAAATAATGTGATAGCGGTGTGTGGTGGCGCACATCTTTAATCCCAGCACTTGGGAGGCAGAGGCAGGTGGATCTCTGCGAGTTTGAGGCCAGCCTGGTCTACAAAGTGAGTTCCAGAACAGTCAAGGCTGTTACACTGAGAAACCCTATCTCTAAAAACCAAAAACCAACCAAACAAAAACTTCCAAAACCTTAATAACTCAATTATTTTTTTTTTTGAAACCGCTAAAAATATGCTCTCTACAAAGCATTATTGTTGCGGGAGGTCCTTCCGCTCCTCCAACCAATAG